AATATTCTCTAATCATAACTTATTTTATTTAGATCAACTAATCTCTTTTTCAGGTTATTAATTAATTACTGTGTTCAATTTTCTCCTAAGGGATTTTGATTATAATTCAAAATGATTTAGTTTGTTTGACTTCTTTTATAAACTAGATAACCTCATATTATATATAGAATACTCAAACTTAAGTATAGACTGGTTTCATCCTTATCATGTTATAATATATTTCTTAAGCATCTATCTTGAATAATTAAAAGAAAGAATTTGTATCTTTGTGAAATCTAGCATTCAACGACCCTGTTTTTGGATAAATTATAGATAAAGTTTCAAAAAACAATAATTTTATTTGTAAACACTTTATTTGCTTTAACAACACTAATATCTGTCAACTTTTAAAATATTCTAGATGTATACTCAGTATACATACCGCTAGATCCAGGTATTGCACCTTTTACATCTCCTGAGATAGAGTCTTCAAAGTCTAAATGTATTCAAATAACTATATACGCTCAAAAACTAACTCAAATACTCATTTTTAAAGATTACTTATATTACTTATATGAACTTCTATATTGCACAAATTATTCACATACTAACAGATCTGCTTTCAGATAATATTGTTAACCTTCTCATTGAACCTTTAGTGTACTTTTCAATACTCAAATATATTCAAACTATCCTCACCAGTGTCTCATCAATTACATTTATATAGATAGTTCTTTAATAGGATCTTGAATAGACAATTGTAAAATAGAATTAAGTTGGATATGTATTGATTTTACAAACAATCATTATTCTTTTAAAACTTTACTTGATAACTGACCCTTTTCAATACAAGCTAAAATATACACCCTTCTCATAGCTCTCATAATATTTCTTAAAGAAGTAATTTTGAACATCTACTTAAACAGTCAGGCTACCATTTACAGATTTAATAAATATGTATTACAAAATTAATTGTTATTAAGAAAATTTGAAAAAATCTCTAATTATATGATATAGAAGCTTATCTGATATATTATTGATCATCTTAACCTTTACATTTCACTTCATAAAATTAAAGCTCATACAGAAAACTATTATAATAAAATAGCAGACAAGTTAGCAAAAGAAGAATATTTAATGTCTCTACTATTTCTAGCTCTTAATAATATTCCTTCATTTGAACTTCTATTTTGTTTTTATTATATTCTTATTGAAGTTTCTATTTGAAGTTTCTTCAAATAATTTTTTGTAACACAGACTTTTGGTAATTTTTTGGATTTAAACAGAAACTGTAGTCTTAAAACCTTTATCAAAAATAAGTCTATCAATTGGTTTGCCATTTGATCTTTGATAGTTATAGATATATCCCTCTCATTACGTTCTTTGCCTTATGCAAACTAAAATCATTTATCATTAAAAACTTTATTAACAAGCTATCTTCACTATCACACCTTTCTTTACTACATCTTGAGTTATACAAATATTAGTATTGTGTGGATTGCAGTATTGCTACTGAGATCTCTACACATATCTGAGAATATGAGGCCTTTGCAATAGAAAGGGAAGAAACTTAAAAAAAATAAAAAATGAGTTAATAATAAATCTGAACAAATTATAGTATTTGAAACATTTTTGGCTTATAAACTAAAATTTTAATTTTTTTGGAGTTTCCTCCTTTTCTATTGCAAAGGCCCCATATCTAGCTTACTCTTCTAGATTACTAAATACAATTAAAGGTACTAAAGATGACTTTATTAAATGTATCTATAACTCAAATAGCGTTAGATACATAATATATTAAATGGAATTTCTAGAAACTCTAGACAACATTTTTGCATTACTTTCAATCTGATCTAATAGATACATCAATATCATTCAATCTAAAATTCTTATATCTCTTGTGAATATTATATACAGAGTCACCAGAAATAAGAATAGAAGCTTTCTATTATATCTCAATCACTGCTGATCTTCTATCAAAAATTATTTGAAGATGTTTGAAAACACTATTATAATTTAATGATTACTAAAGAATAGTTATTGAGCATTACCAAACAAGATAAGCTTAAACGCAGTGCCTATTCATTTTTACCATACAAATTAACATCAAGTCTTTCTTATAATTAGGAGAACTAAATACACCTGACAAACAAATTTGACTAAGTACTAATTTTTTCTTTTTCTTTTTCTATTAATAGCAATTCTCTTTAGATACGTACTTAGTAGGTTTGATAGAGGGAAAGATGATAATAGGTCAATTCAAACAAGTTTTTAATATAATTATAGGAATAGCTAATATTTAACATAGATTTATTTTAAATTATTCTATATCTCTTTAAATATAAATTTAATAAATTACTAATAGTGCTATATCATTAAAAAAAAAAAATATTTTTAAAATTTAATTTTTATTAATTATTTTTATAATTTTTATTTTTCAAATTTCAAATTTAATATATAGATTTAAATTTGGATTAAATTAATATAATTAAGCTTTAAGATTAGTATTAAGAGTTAAGTTAGATTTTGTTTAAGTTAAAATAGAGTTAAAATTAAATTAATTAAAATGAGTTAGATTTAAATATAATTAAATTAGTTTTAAGAATAAGTTTAGAATATAATTAAGTTAGATTTAGATTTAGTTAAATTGGTAGGTTGAATTGGTTAAGTTTAAAATTAAGTTAGAAGATAGTTAAATTAGAATTAGATTATAGTTAAATTAAAATCAAATTAGTATTAAATTAATAGTCAGATTGTATTCAAGTAATGATGGATTAATTTAGAATATGCTTAGAATAGTTTTAGATAAAGTTTAGGTTATTATTAAATATACTTAGAATATACTAGTATAGTAAATATGCTTAAATCACCTTATCGATTATTTTACTAATTATATATAATTAAATTATTATATTATATAAAATTAACCAATCTAATATTTAAAGCTTTAGATAATATAACATATGATTGAACAAGCTTTATAAATTAAAAATTAATATTTTAGATTATGTATAATATATTTCTTAGAGTTCTAGATAAATTGAGTTAATTTATGAGTCAGATAAAGCTGAATCAAGTTTAAATCAAATTGTGTTTATATTTTTTTAACTCAATGATTTGCAAGTTATGCCAAATTTGAGTCAAGTTAAATATTTAACACAAACTTCGTTTAAACTCTAATTGAATTTGACTTGATTCAAGTTGACTTGAATCAGTATTATTAATAAATTAATATTTTTAAGCTATAATATTATTAATATATAAATAATAGATTAACATAATAGATTTAATATATTTAGGTATTTTTTATTTATTTTAAATGGTTATTTTATTAATAAAATATATTTAAAAATAAAAAATTATTATAAAATAATTATAAAATTAACTAATATACTTATATAAAACTAAAGAAGATTTTTTTTTTAATTTTAATTGATTTAGTAATAATAATGTTTGATATTTTAAAAAAAAATTGTTTTAAAAAAAAAATAATACAAATTTACAGCTTTATTTCACTATATATTGTATTGAAAATAAATAAATAAATAATATAAAATTTAGCTTTATCTTACTAAAAATTACACTTATTTATAAAAAAGAGTTTACATAGGAGAAATAATCTGACCCTAAAACTATATAAAGATTATTCCTATACTTTGAATTCTATTCAAATAAAATTATGAATTAAAAGTATTTAAATAAAATTTTTGAAAAATTGATTTTAGTATTTTACAATATAATTTATAAATATCTTTAATGATATTATAACAGTCTAAAATTCTAAAAAAATAATTAGTAATCTTTAAACCTTCTTATTGAACTGATATTGTAATAGCCTGAAATTCTAAAAAAAGAATTAGGATTAGTAATCTAAATGTCTTTACCGATATTGTAATAGTCTAAAATTCTAAATGCTTATCAAAAAAAATTAGGGTTTAAAGATAAATAAATCAGTTTATTTTAAATTAATCAATTTATTTTATTTTTTTTTCTTTTGATCAATATATTTTGATTAATTAATTATTTTATTTTTTTATTCCTCCTTCTGGTCAGTTTATTTTTTTATTTTTTACTTTTTTTCTTTATTTACTCTAATTTTTTCTTTTTTATTTTTTTATTTTTGTTTTTTTGTTTTTATTTTAATTCTTCTCTCCCCTCTTTTAATTTTTTCTTTTTATTTTTTTATTTATTTTTATTTAATTTTTTTATTTATTTTTTGTTTTTGTTTTTAATTTCCCCTTTTAATTTTTTTTATTTATTTTATTTATTTTTTTTGTTTTTATTTAATTCAATCTCCTCTCATTTTTTTATTTTTATTTTATTTCCCCTTTCTTCTCCTATATTTTTTTCTTTTTATTTTTTATTTTTTTTATTTTCTTTTATTTTTCTTTTTTTTTATTTATTTTTAGGAATTATCTACATGTCATTTGAGATAGTATCTAATTTTTTGCCACCTTCATAAAACTGAATTTGATTAGGTAAAAAATTTAATATTTTGTAATTAAGATTTTAATAAATAATATAAGAAAAATAAAACTTTTATCAATTTTTTTATTGTTTTGAATAAAATTAATTCTTTGAATATAAATAGAATTACAAATAAGCTAAAATTCACCTTTATAATTTGTTTATCTGATATAGATTGAATAGCAAAATAATTTTTAAATAATCATTTATTAATAAAGATAATTGTGACATTAAAATCAAAATTTAGAATAATAGCATTTAGAAAATTAAATGTTCAGAAATATGTTCATTTCAGTATATTAGAATTTAAGATATTAGCTTTAAAAAAAATTTTGCGAGGGGTCATAACCTAAAAAATAGTAATATCAAAAAAATAAACTTTATTGAATCTAATTAGAATTATCATACTACTTTTTTACTTTTGCATTTTATATAAGTATGATTTTTTCTTTTATATAATTTACATAATACTATGCATTATCTTATTTATGATTACTAGTATCACAATTACTGCATATCTTTGATCCTTTACTATTATTATTTTATAAACCACTTTACTCATTATTATTTTGAATAGAACTACCATTTTTATTAGAATCTTTATACATTTCAACAGAACTTTTAAATCTTTTATTATATGATTTTCTCTTGGATCTAACTAAATGTGGATTTATAATTCTACTATAACTTAATTTATTAGTATTTTCATTTGTATTATATAATTCTTCTAGAATTTGATCAAGAATATCTAAAAAATCAAATCTTTGTTTTTCAGTAGCAATTTTAGCTATTTTATAGTCAAACTTAAATAAATCACTATATAAATATCACATTTTGATTTTTATATTGATTTTATCCATTGAGTCTTCTTTTTTAAGTATATTTAAAACTGTTAATGATCATGCAATATGTAAAATATTTTCATTTATATCTATAAATACTCATTCTACAGTATTAGCTATATTCAACTTATTACAAATTTCAGCTTTATCATTACTTAAATTATTAATTTATTTTTCTAATTTATACCATCACCTTTAATTAGAAAAATACTAAATTATACTTTTGTATTACAAATTATAACCTAAAAAATAATGCTAACATACTAATCTGCAGTTTAAAATCATCAAAATAAGTGTAAATATATTTTTGATCAAGTAAAAGAATTACAAATTGAGAGGTTGAATTTGAACTATATATGAAATAAGAAACATGCTATATTTTAAGAATATATTCTCTATTAATTTGACTAATAAGAGATTTTAAAAATATTTATGCAATATCTACTTAAATATCAATATTTGAATTGTTATTTTCTTGGTTAATATCCTAAAAATTTAAAGTAAATGTGTTATAAAATGTTGAATGCATTATGATTATTTCAATTAAATTTTGTAAAAAATATAAATAAATGCTCATTATAATATTTTTGTATTCTTTTGATGGAATTAAAGTAGCATTATATTTTAAATTTATATCAAGTTATGCTATTTGAATAAAATACAATTCTGATGTAAGATATTCTTTTAATTTATTAATTATATGTAGAATTTATATGTAATAATTATTCAACCAATCACGATATTCAGCTTTAATGATTTGATTGTAAAGATATGTTTGAATTCTTTAAAAAAAATCCACTAAACTACTTTAAATGTTCATATTTTTTGATGATAGCATTAATATCTTTAACCTGTTATATAGACATCATTCTTACAGTAAAAAACTGAATAATTTAATCAAAAAAATATTACATTAAAATAAAAAATTTTAAATCTAAATATAATATAACAATTAATAAAACTTTACTTACAGTACAAATAAAAGCCTTTGCCTAAGATTTTTTAATTTTATCTAAAGTTTCTATTAGATAATTGCTAGCTAATGAAAAAATTTTAATTAATTTATTCTATTTAATCTCAAAAATAGTTTCATTTAAGTTATTATGAACTGTATAAAATTTTGACAAAAAATTATTATAATTTTCACCTAAAGATCTTTGCATGTGTCAAACCAAATTTTGGCGAATATAAAATATATAATAAATATGTTTGATATTAGGTAAAAATATTTTTAATGCTGCATCTAAACCTGTATCTGCATCACTAATAATAGCTGTTAGTATAATTCTATCATTAGCTTCTAAAAGTTGTTTATAACTCATGTACAGCTTACTGACATTTTATCAGAAAGTAATGCCTATGCAAGCACTTATATATAATTCTAATTGTCAACACTAACAAAAAAATAAAGAGTCATATAATATTTATTTGTTCTTAAAGTATTATCTATTACAATTATATCATGGTAATATTGATATAAATCTTGTTGGTTTGAATCCATTCAAAAAATTTGATATAGCCATCCTTGACTTACTTTTTTAGAAATAAATATACTAGGATCTTCTTTTTTAAGTTTTTCAAAATTTTCAAGTAGCCAATATGAATTATTTTCTGAATTATTAGTTTCATCATAAGAAATATTTTGTTTAAAGTACTGAATTGCATTTACTATATCACTTTTTAAGAAAGTTTACTGTAGAAATTTGGTTATTAGAAGATTTCATATCATAAATCTATTCATTTTAGATGAATTATTAATATAAAATTTTATTCAATTCATTTACTTACTTAAGTAAGTTATAATATGATGATGTAAATATTATTGTTATAATATTAAGTTATGATTATTATATTAGGATTTGAAGGGAGTTACTCTTAGACTTGAGGCAGTTTTTAGTCAACAAATATTAATATAATATATATACTCAACACAAAATGATATAGTAGTATACATTATATCTGGATTATTACTTTTATTTAACTTTAGCCTACCAGTATGATGATATTAAAATATTTTTTTATTAATATATTTATCAGCCTGATAATAAGTATTTTGTAACTTCTAAGAAAAACCCTTTACTTTGATATATGTATAAAGTATTTGGTCTATATATTTCTAATTTTTAAACCTCTTTTAGATTTTTGCTAATTTGAAGTTTGTGAAGAACTTTTAAGCGATTTTTCTTAAAACTATAGATTTTAATCTAATATTTTCTTATTTATATCAGTGTTATCCATTTTATATAATACAGTAATTATAAGATAGTATAAAAAATAAATAACTATTGTTAAATCTGAAGTATATATATAATAAAAGAAACTGACTCATATTTTGAATGGAACTAATAACATATGTCACGTGTTATAGGGGTGACAAAAAATTTAAATTATTACCCTAAATAGCACAAAAACATTTTCTATATAATAATATGAATTAAGAGATCATGTTTTTAGTTTAGTTAGTAATAATTGAATTCCTATTGTAGGTTACATTATAATAACTACAGGTTCAGGTCTTAGCTGAGATATAAAACTAAATAATTTTCTTATGAATTTCATATATAACTGAATATGTGAATGTTTATATTAATATGTATTTATAATTAGTCAATTAATCTATTGATCAATATTAATCATGCCTAAATACTGGATTTTTAAAATATGTGGATGCAAATGAAGTCAGAGATTAACAGAAACTTAACTTTTACTAATAGAACTATAATAGATACTATCTTATGTCTTAAAATTTAGAAACTCTTACACAAGTAAAGAAATGATTAATCAGTAATTAGTAGATTATATATTACATTGAGATTAAAAATGACACTGTAACTGATTGCAACTGGTGACAAATAAGCATTACAGGATTGCAACTAGTTGCAACATTAATAAAAATTGAGTTACAACTAGTTGCAATCAGTGACAGATAAGCATTACATAATAGCAACTAGTTGTAACACTATCTTTAATTGAGATCTAAGTACTTTATGTGACTATGATGATAATAGAATGTATTACACTATCACAATACTATTCAATTGAACTGTCACTAGGGGTAGAGGCTAAGTTCAATTCTTAGGTGAATTTAATGATATAGGTATAACAGTTATTTACCTTTCTGAGATTTTATATGGATGATAATATTTAAGTCTTTTTAATCATATGTAATATATCCTGATACTAAGTAAAGATAATAATAATTCTGATTAGTTTTGGTAAGCGTAAAGAAAAAGTAATGTAAGTACCTGTGACTGAAAGTGATTTTTCTATTCAAATTTGATAGTGGTTTTAAAATTCTAGAATCTTTAGGGTTAGCTTTTAGAGGATGTCAACCTAAATGATAGGTCTTAAACTAGTATTACGAGTAAATTCTAGTTAGATCTTAAGTCTAGCTATAATCTTAAGAATCCTAAAATTAAGCAAAGGGGTTATACCTCAAAAATATGCTAATATAATTGCTATATAGTCTTTTAGTATTCAAATACTAAAATTTAAAAAAAAATATAATAAATAATATGAATTAAAATCTTATTTTTAGTTATTAGAGTTTTATAAGATAATTTTATAGTTTAGCCTTATTTTAGCATATTGTAAATAAATTATTTTTATAAAAATAATATAACATGATTTATATCTTATATCTTATAATATATTATTAATATTAGTATTTATATAAGCTATAATTTTATTCATACTTAAAAATTATGAAAAATCATAAGTAATCAATTAATTTATGAATTATAAAAGTACAAAATTATTTTAATATATATTTTATATAAAACTTATTATTTATTTACTTTATAATAATTTATATTTTTGTATTAAATAATAATAAGATAAATATAAAATTAATAATTTTAGTATAAAAAATAAAAAATCTTTTAATAATATTATAATGAATTTGAAAAAATTTGTAAGTTTTAAAATTATTTTTTCAAAATAAATAATTTAAAATTCAAAATTCTTTATTAATATAATTAAAAAATTTATTTTTTTAATTATCTAATAAGAATATTTAAATAAATTTTGATATATTTTGTAATCAACCAATTATATTTTTATTTTTTAATACATAAAATTAATTAACTTTTTAATTTATTAAAATTTTAATATCAATTATATTTACAGAATTTAATAATCATTAAGCAGCAACTTTTATTTTAAATGTTTAGCAATTATTAATATCATTTATTAAAAATCAATGAAACAGATAATGAAAATTGCAAAAAATCTATTATTACTATATATAATTATTAGTGATCAGTTAGATTTATTATTTTTTGAATTTATTTAATATATTTTACTAATATTCTTTCTTATTTACTTTTTTAGTTAAAAATCTTAAATTTTAATATTGCATTATCATTTTAAATATCTCAAATGCAATAAAAATAAAAATATAATAATAATATATAATATTATAACTAGCTATATTCTATAATACTTTAAAATAATTATATAAACTTTAATCTGATATAATTTATGATACTAAAATTAAAGTAAGTATTATGATAAAATAATATGTAATAGAAAATTAAAAATTTATAGAAATTAAAATGAAATATCATTTGTGAAAAAGAAAATTCTATAATAAATAATTAAAAAAAGATGAATTACAAATAATTCAGAGAATTAATTTTTTTATTTTTATTTATTTTATTTATTATCTTTATATTTTTTTAAACAATTTTAAGAAGTCAAATTTTTTATATTTTAAGGTAATTTTAATAGTCAATTTTTTATTTTTATTATTTTTATATTTTTTTAATAATTTTGATAGTTAATTTTTCTTTTTTTTATTATTTTATTTATTAATTTCATGTTTTTTAATGATTTTAAAAGTCGATTTTTCGATTTTTATTATTTTTTACATTTTTAAATGATTTTGAAAATTTATAATATATATTTATCATATTTTTTATTATTTTACATTATTTAGATATTTGAATAATAGTGATAATAAATATTTGAGATAATTTTGAAGAATTTTAGAATATTTAGATAATGACGATATTTTATTTAAGATGATTTTAGAAATTTTAGAAGGAAACTAGTTCATATTTTTATTATTTTTATTATTATTTTATTATTTTTTTGTATAATTTTATATTTATATTTTCTAATATTTAATAAATTTAATTAAATAAAAATGTATTAATTTTATATGTTTATTTAGTTGAATTGATGCTGAATTAAGACAATTTTAGATTGATTTATAGTTAAATTTAAATTCTAAATTTATACTGAATAGTTTGTCTAATTGAAATTAATTAATAATAATATAAATAATCAGAAAATATACAAATTAGCTGTAAATAGTATCAATATCAGTCTAAATTTAGCTAACTAATTTTTAGCTAATTTGAATCATTTAAATCAGTATATATAGATATAAGATTATTTTCAATAGATATTTGAAACATTAAATAAAGTAATAATTTATATTTTGATAATTATTTCTATATATATTATTTTGTAGAACAATTAGTATAAATGTTTATTTTATTTATTTTGTCTTTTATTTAAAATCAGTTAAAAATAATAATAAGTAACAATTTAAATCAAATAATAAATAAATAATTTTATAATTTAATATATTTTAATAATTATCTATTTTTTTAAATTAAATTAGCATTTTATTATAATATTTTAATTATAAAATTAAAATTTATTTAATATTTAAAAATTTTGTTAGGTAATTAATTTCATTATAGTATATCATTTTTTCAATTAATAACAGGTTATTTTCAATTATTATATACTATTTTATGCTTATTAGATCCTAAAAGAATTGATTCTTTGATAAAAAACATAAAAATAATTAAACTTTATTAATCAAATTAATTAGTTTTTTTTATAATTATTAAATTTTTGTGAATTTAACTTTATTAGAATAATTAATAATATTATAAATATTAAATATACAATAATAATCCATAATTTTATATAAATATATATTTAATAAAAATAGCATTAATAAATTTAATATATATAATTTTTATGTAAAAAGGAATATAATTTATAAATTAATATTTTTTTAAATAGATTTACTAAGTAATATAATTACATATTATTTCTTGTCTTATTTAATATAGATTTCAATAAGAAAATTCTGATTAAACAATATGTAATAACTTAGAATTTTATGAATTTACTTTTACATATTCTAGTATAGGGTATATGGAAATTATTTGTTTTATTTGGATTTTATGATGGTTTAATATAGATTTCTTAACAGATCTTATATGGCAAATAATTTTTGATGAAGTAAATCATTATTTAAAGTTTTCCTTTTTTATAATTACTAAACGAATTTGTCTTCTCTGCAAATAAATTGAACTTTAAATTTATGAGCAATAGAAAGAAAAGTAAGAATTAAAACAACATCATGATGCTTTTGAATTAAAGTTTAAGAATTAAATGATGATGAACTGCAATTCAATTGCCTAGTAGAGAAATTATGCAATAGTCAAAATGAACCTAGCCTCTATTTGAAGGTCCAAACCAGATGCAGGAAAAACTTTATGGTAATTAGAAGATCTATGGAGAGACTTTCACAATTATCTTGACTGTTGAGTACTAATAACTAACTGTATAAGATTGTTGAATAACTCAAGAATAAAAAATACGTATTTGATAAAGTTACTTGTAATAACCAATTTATTTCGGTCAATACGATCCGTTTTGTCAAAATTATATGACATATATATTAATAAAACAACTCACACATGGCCTTTATATTACGTAATTATAATACAAACTTTTTATTGTTAATTCCTACAAAATAGAAAAGACCATCTCTCAATATAGACGCAATATAAGTGTTTAATGTCTTTTTTATTTTAGTTTAGCCAGACTATTCCTTTATATAATCACGTTGAAATAATACTGAAACAATTGTTACCCAATGCTCATTAGCTAGGAAAAGAAAAATTAATCAAGCAAATATTAAATACGATTCAATCGAAACCATGTTACCTACTGGATTTACCATACTGGTCAAGCGGATATGATCTGAAATAAATAAGGAGAATTATACTTATTGTTCATAAAAGATCACAGTTTAAATAATTCGACACAAAAATGCATTTATTCGGAATCGGACCAATCAAATATGAAAATAAAATAATATACAATAAAAAATAAAAATACAATTAAAGAAAATAATTTAATTAAATAAGGAATTACTTTTAAATAAAAATTTAGAATATAAAAAATAAAAAATAAAAGTACAAAAGAAATAGCAAAAATTTTTTTTTTTATTTTCCTTTTTTTTTTTTTGATTAGCCGAAGTTCCACGGCGTCGAGAAAACTTCAACTAGATTTGCATTATCCGTAAGGATAATGCCGTACTCGAGCGCGGCGTCAACCGCTCCCGGGTAATATCCGGAGGGGGCCACTATTATCCCGATGGGGTTGTTTTTTTGTCTATACACCACCCCGAAAAACTCGTCCACGACCTTACGACCTGAAATCGATTTATTGCGTTTCAATTGCGTTTCATCTTCATTGATAACACAGTACATGTATTTTCGATACGATACCTATTTTACAGGCCCAATTTTTGCATTGGATGACATATGCTATCCCTGCAACTACTCCAGAAACATCTATGCCACCATCGCCGGGTCCTCTAAAAAACAATAATATAAAAAATGAGTACTTTGCGCCATTATCATCGAGAGTCAAAAAAAAACGTTCACAGTCGTTTGCGATTGAGGCCACGGAGTGCTTTCGATTCACCATAAATCCTTTTTGGAAAAGACGTTCGGCAGAAGAACATCAGAAATAGGGAAGAACGTTCACGGTCGAAACTGTGGCACGAAGAGCTTTCAATTCCCCGATACTTTGCATCAAGTGGCAGCGTGGCTTCAGATACACAACAACTCGACAAATAGTTTAGTGAGTTACTCACCCTTTGTGTTCATTATCGATCCCTACTTCAGTTAAAGTTCTTACAGTTTCATTTTCAAGTTGTCGTCCTTTCTCGTAATTATTCATTTTTGTATTGGAAAAGTTTAGATAAGTTTAGAAATTAGTTGAAATGTGTAGATAGAAATAAAATGTGTAGAGATAAAATGTGTAGAGATTTTTTTTTTTCTACGACAATAACTTACAATCGCGTATATATTCCATTTTACCTTTTGCAACTATAACGAACAATCGTGTATACCATTTTCGATTACAAACACGAGTTTTCATAACGGGCCAGCAAGTGTTATTTTTATTGGATACACTTTACCATATATACGGATCAAACTTTCTCCAATTCTGCATAGAAGTTCGGGTCACTCAAGTGAATATGCTAAAATTCCAGGAGTTAACGTTAATACTGGTAAATGGGCTAGATCAGCTGAGTATTAATTTTCATACTCAGCATCAATTAAATCACTATAATCTGCTCAATTGAGTGACCCGACTCTACATTCGTATCACTCATCTGCATATGGATATATCCACTAATTGATTGATTATGCTTTTTTTTTTTGTCACATACAATTGAGACGAATAATCTAACCTATCGAAAAAATATTAAGTCCCTCAAATATTTAATAAATATTGAAAATCACCAATGTCATGTCACAAACCACCTAACACCTAACCCTACCCTAACCCTAACTAATCTCAATTATACCAGCCAATCATAGCGTGAGGGTAAATTATTAATCCCATCCCATTACTTCTTATTTGGTGATGATCATTATAAATGAACAGCAATTATTAATATAAACAATATCATAACTGATATAAGTTTAATATAAATAAATTACAATTAAAAGATTTTAATAAAGAAATTTACTAAGTTTACATGGATTGTATAATGTAGTAGATATTTGAAGTTACTTGATGTTAGGGCTATACAGATTAGGTTTCTATTTAACACGATATATTCACACACTATGTTTTATTTTCATAAAATTCTAGGACTTAGAGAAAGTATGGCTAATTTAAATAAATAGTAAGTATAATTATTAAAGTAAAAATAAAAATTTTTTGAGTTGATATTAAATGCCTGCTGTAGGGATTGGAATCGATTCGATATTTAGAATCGCGAATATCGGTTCTCAAGATTCGACTTGAAGATTCGATTTTCGATTTTCGATTAATCAAATATAATCGATCGATCCATTGAGATAGGTGCTTGGGAGACCCTAATAAATTAAATCCAAAAATAAAATAAAATATTTAAATTAAAAAATAGGGGATAAATATATGCAAATTTGAAAATAATTTCCCTCAAGTGATCCTATTAGATAGCCTAATGCGACTTTCGAATATCCAATAACAATTTGTTTTAATTATGCAAGCCTTCCAAGAAGTCTATTTACCTGTATCCTAAAATTTGAATGATTGTAATATAGCGAAAATAGTCATCCCTGAATATTGTTATAAAATCTTTTAGGGGTAGTCGATAGTACTCCGCAAGGGTCGGGTCGGGTTTAAGGCATATTGAACTCGAACTCGTTAATAATTACAGAACTCGAATTCGACTCGACCTGATCATTGTTCGATTCGGATTCGACTCGACCCGATGATTGTTTAACCCGGATTCGACTCGAATTTTCAAGGGTAATATACAAGACGGAAAATAAAAAAAAGTATCAAATACATAAAGTCTATTTTATTTTTTTTTTTTTTGTGAGCATTAATCCTAATTCTATCTTTTCCACTAGAATTTCAAGCACATACAGAAGAATTGCATTAGCTTTAACGCCACGCCATTTGGTTGATATCAGATCGATTCCGCCAGAAAATCTTGTTCTACCGGAACACTTGTTGTTTTATAAAAAAATTGTATTAGTTAATGTTTAATAATCGATAATTCTTTTTTTTTTTTTACCTGTAATTGTTCACACTGCAATGTTTTTCGTTTTCTAGAAGAAAGCTATACTACCAGTAACGTCGATAAGTTTATTCATTATTTATTTATTACAAATTTAAAGTCGCGTAATGTAAAACAAAAAAAAGTCTAGCGCGTCAATTTTTATCGTAAGTCGGATAACAATAAAACACATGATATAATATAAAAAACACATTTACACAAAAATGCAAATTACTGCAAAATTATGGTATTGATTGGCCATCAATTATTTTTCTAGCAATCTGAGTTGCCGGGTTGCCGGGTTGCCAGAAAGTACTCGGCAACAAATTTGCCACATGTGCATCAGGTCTTCCCGGTAAAGCAAAATGTGATCCTGACCCGGCGGGTTTTTTGAATTAGAACTCGTGTCATAAAATGATAGTCCCGACTCGAGAAAAAATTCGAGTCGGGTCAAACAACCCGGGTCGACTCGATCTTTTCGGAGCACTAGTAGTCGATAAATATACTTGGCTGGATCGTGAAGGATTGGTCTAGGAAGTAGAGGTTGGAACCGGCCAAAAATTCTTTAACCGGTTAATAACCGGTTAAAATATTCGTTAATATATAAAAAAAAAAAAAAGTAAAATAAAAATAAAGGGCAACAAAAAAAGTAACTATGCCAGTCGAAATTGACTACTAACCATAATAAGTAAAGAGAGCAGTATGTACAAAATTTCTTATAAATTTGCTGCACGTTTATTTATAATATATTATTAATCGGAGCTGAATCTTTGTAGTATGTAATTAAATTTACTTGATAATGAATGTAATGACCGGTTTAATGAAAAGTCAACTAATCTAGAATTAGAACGACAAGTTCCCATTGAATAAAAACTTAACATATGCCAAGCCTACTTGAAAAGTGAAACACATTGATATTTTAGTGGATGCCACAATTTGTTCGCTTGCCGAAGTAAACTTATACATCGTTATATTTAAGTAATCTAAGAAGACTTCAATCACAACAAATAATGTCATTATTTAAAATTTAATGTTTATTACATAAGCGATTGGCAAATAAAAAAAAAGTATCATATTTGCTATTTTATCTGAAATGCCTATAATAAAAAATTCTTCATAAATTCTTTAACCTTTATAAATTTATTTCTTCGATGGTAAAATTATTTGTATCTAAAATGTTATTTTCATAACAGGTTCGATTGCACGCACCAGCATTATTATTGATAACCAAATCTCTATTGCCAAAATTTAATGGTAAAATTTGAGACTTATTTTCATAAATTGCATAATTACTATTACAATCGACTAATTTTAAAAATTCTTTAAATCTTTTCCATTACCTAAAGAAAAAAGAAAACTTTCGGTAGTATTAGACCAGCAATCTACTTTACCCAACAAGAACGAAATGGTTACTCCAACCAAGAGGAATATAACCACTAATTATCGTTTCATCCAAATTAGTTTTAATGATCAAAATGTAAGCATCTTTTTATAACACTTATTTCGCATAATATTGGTATCATAACCATCTCTACTTCCACAATATATAAGGTTAATGTTATATTTAATATCCTTTGGATTTCTTGCATTAAAATCATTTCTTTGAATCCAATTAGCAAGGATTGACACATGTTTTGGTTTAATTATTAACGAATCTACGGTAATTTTTTCATGACGAGGAGTCAATATATGTTGATTTGGTATATAGTATAAATGACACAATATCTTCGAAGAGTGCTTCAGGTAACATCATCAAATATTTTTATAAAAATCTTTTGTAGAAATTTCAAAGAATCGAATGTGTGCAATAAATTGATTCAAAGCACCTTTTAAAGCCTTAAAATCCTTTTTATTCCAATTACTCAAATTCGTCATCGTTCTTTACTTTCAATTCCGAAGTTTGGGAAATCCCCATTTAACAAGATAATTCCATAATTCAATTTCATCAATTCGTAAATCATCTCTTTTAACTAATCCAAGTAGAATACTTTCATCTAATGCTGGAAAATTTGATGAATCAAAAAAAGATTCTGGTTCATCACATAATTTCGAAACAATAATTTTGGAGTTGTTTACAGTTTTCTAATTGGAAAACCGTGTGAAATACCTTAACAAAATTTTGTTTCAACCATTCGGTTTGATTTTTAATCAAATACTCTTGTACAGATGTAACCAATTCATCAAGAAATAATTCATCGGATGCTAATATTAGATCAAAGATATCAGAACAATCGTTTTCATCTACCAGCATAAAAATATCTAAAAAAAATAATTTGAAAATTTGAGAAGTTTAGTAATTCATTCAATATTGTTGGTTAATTTCATGCGCTGAACGTGACACAGAACATAAAACGTTTACAAGAAAAAAAGTAATTTTTTAATTTCTTATAAACTTTTTATTAGAAAAAAATTCAGATACTGTTATTACCTAATAATCATACCAAAAATTATTGGTGTAATATTTGGTTTATTAAAGTCTATCACATTTTTCGAGAGGGCTCTTTTAAAATAAAGTGATCGAGACTTCAAGATAATTGAATGCGCATGAAATTCTTTCATACTTGAATTTTTTCCGTTTCTAATAATGATATCACAATTTTCTGCATGATCAAGAAATTGTGAAAAATCCTGGGATAATCTAGGAAAATAAACGAAAGTAAAGATTATAGTTAGAAAAGGATAATTTTGGTTAAGGGCCTTTTATAGAATAGCAGAAACGTATTGCAAAAAAGTGTGATTGGCACATTTTTAAGTATCACATGATCCGATGAGACATTACGAAAAAATATTAGTTTTGACAAATGTACGAATATATGAATAACAAGGGACAATGAAATCACGTGCTAACCGGCCTTTATTTACTTGCAAGCAAGTTTAACAAAGTATTACAATAAAATGCATTATAACAATGATTACATAATAAGATCATGTGCTATATATATCAGTACCATCCTTATTTGTTTACTCTAGGTCATTTTGCCAATTATTCGGGTGGGTAAATTAAAGTTATAAGGAGGGAACGTGATTTCATTGTCCCTTGTTATTCATTAATTTACAAATGTATTTCATATATTCGTACATTTGCCAAAATTAATATCATAACTTCGGGACAATGGAATCACGTGCTACTGCGGAGTAAAACTAATTACACAATCTGTTAAAGCACTGTTATTAGTTGTGCGTGGTGGCACTGTCTAAAATTAACTTTGACACCTGATTTCGTTCCAACATTAGCTTGATTCCCCGTTGATAAAAACGTTGATATGTTGTGTTGCTGAACCAGTTGCCTAGAGCTAGAATCGTTGATATATCACCACCGGCATTTTGCAAGAAAAAAGCTGACAAAGAGCGCATATCCTTTGCTGACATTTTAATCACAGTTTTGATCCATCCTGCAATTGTATCAGTGGCGGCTGGAGTGTGAGGTGGTTTAGTAATTAGAAATAAGGCTTCTTGTTTCTTTTGATTGTCTCTCCACGATCGAGTACGCGACAAAAGGAATTGAAGTGCATTATAAGGACATAAGAATGGATCGTCATTATAACGTCCCACATAAATCTTTTTTGTTGGTGATTTTGAAGTAGTAAGTGAATGAGACTTGCTATCTTTTATTCTTTTGGTTCTATACATTCAAGGATACAACTTGTGTTTAGATCTTTCATTGTGGTAAGATTAACTTTCCTAAGGTCCGAAGGTCTACTTGCAGTCACTAATGCCAATAAAAAAGATGTTTTGATTGTCAAATCCCTTATCGTCATAGATAAATTATCGCCCATTTCTTTAATGTAGTCTAACGAAGGTGTGATGTCAATCGGCTCATCTGAATGTGTGAGAGGAGGATTTTTAATATGAATAGCATGCATTATGCGCGAAATATCTGGATGTACACCAATAGGTGATCAATCTACATGATCATGAACTTCACTAATTGCAGTTCTATAACTGGCAATTGTATTAAATGCCATTCTTTTGTTAAGCATATCTGCAAAAAATTCACTGATATCACTTATAGTGCAAGTAATGGGATCCAATTCGTGTACATTGCACCAAGAAACCCATACCCTGAGATTTGATGACATCGTTTTTGATGAGTTTGAATCTATTACTTATAAGAAAAGGTCAATAGTCTTTTCTGAAAAGCCTTTCTTTTGATACCGTGTCCTGAGATGTTGCATATGAGGATCCTCCATTTTGGGTTTCAGAATGGTGTTTCGTGAGTCTGATATATTTTCTGAGATATTAGCTTGATTGGTGGAGCTATTAACAGTTGCAGCAGAAGAGGAAACCAAGGGGCTGACTGCCTAAAAGGTACTTTTCCCGAATTACTTTTGCCGGAATTCGTGGGATCAGGAACCAAGGCAGATTCGCCCAAAGTTACTTTTTGTGCCATGGCTGAATTAATGCATTCACTGCTGTTGAAAAAGGGTCTGGTATCCACGAAAAATATGTTGGTATTTGAGCATTCAGACGGTTTGCAAACAAGTCGATTTGATATGGTCCCCAAATCTTGTTGAGTTGATGAAAGATTTCCTGTTTCAGTATCCAATTGTTGCGATCTGCTTTCATTTTGTATGCATGATCGGCTGACGTGTTCAAAATCCTGGAATATATTCTGCTTGTAAGCGAATGTTTCTTCTCAAAGCATAAGTTCCAAAGGTTCTCTGCAATCATTGATAGAGCTGACGAAACTGTTCCTCCTTGATGATTTATATAAGCTATACAAGTTGTGTTGTCTGTCTTTATTAAGATAGTTTGATTCATTATAGTCCTGAATGATCGGAGAGCAAAATAAATTGCTTTTATCTCAAGTTGGTTGATATGTAAATGCTGTTCATGTTGATCCTAATGACCATTTATTGTTTGTCCATTCCAAGACGCACCCCATCCAAAGTTTGACGCATCAGTATAAATTATTGATTTTGGAAGCTCCAAAATAAGGGACTTTCCATTCCATTTTGGTAGTTCTAAAATCCACCATTTTAGTTGATTTAGACTTTCCTCTGATAAACATATTGTGCCGTTCCAACCTTTCCTTTTCAGACCATAATTTTTGTCGCATGGTAAGACTCTGGAATGCAGTCTTGCTGAAAGTATTGCATTTGTGGTCGCTATTAGCTTTCTTATTAATGATGCTAGTTTTCGTATTGAAATTGATCTCGTTTTCTTTGCCCTTAGACATTCTCAGATCAAATCCTTCACTTTCTTCTTTGGAAGTTTGAGAGTCATTAGCTTTGAATTTATCTGGAAACCTAAGTAGTCGACTACTTGTGAGGGATTTAGACATGATTTCTTTGTGTTTATTGTAAACTTGTATCCCTGTAAACATCTGATTAGACAGTTTGTATCTTCTTGTATTTAGCTTTTTGATGAAGTCATGACCAAAATATCGTATAGGTATGCCACTACCTGTATTTCCATCTTTCTTGCTATCTCTATGATCAGTTTCAAAATTTTGATGAAGTCTCTGGGACTTGCAGTTAGGCCGAATGGAAGACATGCAAAACAATAATGTTTGTTGAGATAATCGAAGGCAAAATATTGCATTTGATGTAAGGATAAAGGTATACGATAAAACACTTGATTTAGACCTAACGACGTCATATAATCGCCTCTTCTGACTAGAGATTTCACAATATCCAATCCTTCTATTTTGAAGTGCTTGTACTTTACATACTGGTTCAATTTTCTTAAGTCGATTATGGCTCTAAAGTCGCCTGTTTTCTTTGGGATTATAAAAAGATTAGATGTAAAGCATGGGATATCCGGATCTATCTCTTGAATCATTCCATTTTCTAATAAACTGTTGATTTTCTTTTGAAATATAGGCAAATCTTTTTCACTGTATTTCTGTTTTGAAATAGGAATTCTTAAAGGTGGTAACTGTTTCCATTCTGGAGAATAACCATAATGGACCGTATTTGTTTCTTAAGTTTTTCCAAAAGAAGAGAACCACTTTTCCTGAAAATGTTGAATTTGTCTAGCAATTTGAGTTGGTATATGTTCTGTCTGTGATACCGGTTGATTCTTCATTAACTCTGCTGAGTTGAACGATCACCTTAAAAATCTTTTCCCGAATTTTAAAATTTACCCTGTCCAGGTTTATACTTCGTTTTTCCTTTAGAGTAATAAGATTTAGCCGAGCATCTTAAAATTAAATGCTGGAGAACTGTTCTTTGAAGTAGAATTTTGAGCAACTCTTTTTTTCTGTCAGGTTGCATCATTAAGCAATTTATTTGCTTCATTCTCACTCTTGATTGTATTATTAAGATCTTCCCCAAATACCTCCTCTTTCCTAACAGGTTTCTGATAATTAGGAAATATAGTAGCTTTGAGTGCCTGTTCACAGCGTACCTCATTAACATATGAGAGTGAATCCAATACCAAAGCCCTGGTATTGAGGACCGTCTGTTCCAGATGTAACCAGACATTATGCTGGTCTTCTTCATTAGAATTCAGTTTTGACGCGTAGACCATACGAAGGGTGTTGTCGATAGGTCTAACAGCTGAAGAGAATTTGTATGCAATGCATCGGAGAGCCTTATCCTGTTTTCTCGCATACTTTGGCATGTTGGACCATAATTTTTTGTCAATAATAGGGGGTTCAAATGATATTTCCTTATTCCTTGGTTGTTCTTCTTGAATATACTGGTAGGGAGATTTAGCATTTCACAAGACGCGACCCATATATTTGAGTCCAAGTCTTCCATAACATCAGGTTCAATTTCGTGTTCGATATCTTGTTCATTTCTATTATTTTCACCGTCAAGGTTACTATGAGTCATAGTACTTTAAAGTTATGAGACGTTTATAATAAGCGCGAACTGCTGCAAGAAAAAAACGGTCTCCACAATTATTCATTGTTTTAAATATCAATATTCCAAAATCTTATATAATAAAAAAATTTATGTGTAATGGTTATGTTTAAATTTCAAAAACAAGAAAATGTGTTACAGTTATGCAAATAGGTTACACAAATTTCCTTTAGAAATTTGTGTAAAGTAACGTGATTTACCTCATCAAAATAAAATTATGATAATGGTTATTTAAACATATATGAAATGTTTAATTAATTTCGTTTATTTATAGTTTGTGAATTTTTATTTCTGAATAATATATTCTTATGATAATAGAATTGATCAAGAAAACAAATTTATTTTCCAGGAAGGGTCAAAGATTGAAATTTTTTTAAAAAAAAATAAAAACAAGTTACACCAGTATTCCCGCGTTGCCCCAACCGTAGTACTTGACGGAGATCGGAGCTTTTTACTGCGGGCCGTAACTAATTTTATGCAGAAACATCAGAACTTATTGATAATTATTTTAAAGAAAAGAAAAAAGGAAGTTTTTTTCGTAAAAAGAAAAATAGGTATAAAATATTAACTCCTTTGTAATTACACGTTTCGAATTCACTTGTCATAAATCGTTTTGAAATTATAATTTTTTTTCTACTATCAAATCTAATTTTTTGTTACAATTAAACTTTTGTGCAATCTAAAAAATTATATAAAAGGTGAATTTCATTGGAAATATTTCTTTCTTTTAGAGTTCGAAAAGAATCTCTTTAAATTATTTTAATAGTTAAAATTTTAGAAGCTTAGATTTATCGAATTTAATATAAAATATTAATTTCCGTATTAAATTTTCCTCAACAGCTTAATATTACTAATCAAAAAGGTTGTACTATTTATTACTCTTAAGGATAATCCTAACGTTGAAATTATATGTAACGTTTTTTAAAATAAACTTTTTTCTGCGCCCACAGCAAGTGCAAATAATGATTTTTTTGAATACTTACGTTTGATTTTTTTCTTGATTTGTTGCAAAGCGGGTAAAGGGAATTTTGAAACGACAACGGTGCAAGAAGCGTATTCTTCACCCATGAAAAAAATAAATTTGCCCACTTCACGGAAACAAAAATGCATCTAGTCCGATTATTATGACATCGTCCTTCCCAATTATATATTTTATTAACATCTTTACAGTGAGTGATTTGGGTCTAGCCACATCAATTTATACTTTTTTTATTATCAAGTGGAAATCGCATCTTCCGATAAAAATTTTTAAAAAAAAAAATATCAAAACCTTGCTCATTTGAACCTTTGAAAATAAATCGTCCCCTCTGAAGTTACTAGATTAATTTTTTTTTAAAAGAAAAAGCTTTGAAGTTTATTTTGATATATTGGTAAAGCATTCCGAACACACCGATAAGATTTGTAAATTTGACAAAAAAAACTTTATATTTAACATTACAAACATTTGATTAGTGCATTGATAATAAGTAAACGTCATGCTTGTTCCAGTTTTTTTATTAAAAAAATTATAATCAAATCTTTTCTTTGTCTGTGAGGATTATATTAAACTCGGAAGTTCTTGCCGCTCTTCTCGCTTGTGTTGTAAATTTATCGTCGGATGGGATTACAATAATACCAATTGTATCTTTGTGGTATCTGGATAGTGTCCCTTCCAGTTCACGAACGACTTCAACCCCTATTTAATCACGATAATTTTTTTAATTGCCATCTAAATTGTACAAAACATATACTATGATTAGTTATTTACCGAGTTTTCTTCTTCGGTCATTGCATTGGACCACAAACGGGAATCTTGCAAGATTCCCAATTATGTCAACACCACCGTCACCTGGTGCGGGACTAAAAAATAGATAAATAAAATAAATGAGCATTTGTGTCATAATCGTCAAGAATCAAGGAAGAACGTTCACAGTTGTATATACTGCGGCCACGAAGCGCTTTCTTTCAATGATCCATGTATCCTATTCACCACATCAGCCCCCGGGGTGTCCTTATGCGCGCTTCTTTGAGCAAAGAAACTGTTTCAGGTATTTCTACCAAGGCTTCGCTTAAGTGTTATAGCTGTAGCTTTTCGGAAACGGGGAAGAACGTTCACAGTAGGCCCGTCCACCGTACGCCAGGTCTGAATACCTGACTGGTAACTTTCGCAAACTGTCGCCTCGAAGAGCTTTCATCTCCCGATTTTACACCTAGTGGCAGCGTAACTTCAAATACATAACAATTTAACAAATAACTCTGTGATATTCACCTTATCATATAGCAATCTATGTTCATACTCCTCAATATTCGACAAATTTCCCTTTCAAATTTCTTTCCTTTAGCTACGGAAGATAACATAGTTATATATTTTTTCTTTATTTAGTTTTATTTTTTTTTAAAAAAAAAAAGTAAGAAATGAAATAAAAAGTTACTTCCCTCTTCTTAAATATCGACATATTTACTTTTTTTTTCTCTCTCTCTGAACGTGTCAAAGTCGTTTAAGTTCAAACCCACATTTATTGTACCTGTTACACGTACAGAATCGATTTATCCAAATCAAGTAATCATACACTTTAAAACATATTTATACCTATATAGTTTTGTCAGGAAACGAGACGAAAATAGAAAGTTGTGAGCTGAAGAAATTATACAAATGAATAATAAATGAAAAACTTTAGAAGAGATTATTATCCGGTTCCTTTATAAAAGTTTCGCATTTTCTCTATCTAGTACTTTGAAGACAAGAAGGAAATAAGGATTTGATAAAGCGATAAAATTCTCACGAAACTATGAGTCATGCAGAATTTATGTAAACGATATCATCATCTTATTTGTTATATTTGTGATACTTTTAGTTTTATAAAAAATAATTCTCACGCATCTATGAGTCATATGAGTCATGCCGATAACAATCAAATTTTCGATAATCAAGGAAAATAATTTGTATTACCTTATTTAGTTATATTGGAGAACTAATAGTTTTATAAAAATTTTTATATTGTAAAAATTCAATATAGTATTTCCATTTAGCTATTATTGACAGCTGAATAACTATTTGCACATATATCGTGCTTTATAAAAATATGTAGTTTTATTATATTTTCAATCAAAATTCGAGATAAATTATTAAAGATATTTATGGAATATTATACATAAGTTCAATTATAAAATAAATCTCTTCGGTCATTTTTCTCAATTAGATCTTGATATTGTGAGAAAAAGTTCCTTATATTTAAGATGTGCCGCTCGAACAATAAATAATTCATTACCGATTGAAAATCCGCTTTTTGCAGTATATTTTATCATTCATGATCTATAAATGTTGCGTAATCACAATTTTTTTTACTTATTAACGAAAAAGTGAACAAACGCGTAAGATTTTGAATACACATCTAAAAACATAATTTAGTTAATAACAATAATGGAAATGGATCAAAGTTTATGATAATAAATCAATGTAATATCAATATGGTTTGAGGAAAAATTTAAAGAGAAAAAAAAAATTCTAATAATTTGTTAAAATACTTTTTAATTATGAGTGTTTTTAAGAGTTTATTAAAATAAAAATTTCGTAGAACAGGTATATAGTGGATAATACTTATATTCATAATTAAGCCTTAAACCTCAAATTTATTTTGATACTAATGATTACACTTATTGACATGAAATATTATCACTGATAAAGAAAGTAAGAGAAAATTTTGAAGTTCAAAAAATGAATTCTTTATAAATCCGGGGCACCGATTAAAAAAAAATAAGGTATCTTGTAAAATGTGCTAATTTTATAAAAATTTCTTTTGTAAAATTATTGTAATATAAAAGATACATAAATTTAATAATGATTTATTATTTAAATTAATACTAAATTTGCATTGAATATTCCAAAACCCTACGTTAATTTAACAAGAATCATTATATATTTACTTAAGGAAAATTTTGAGATGCCTCATATATAGTCGAGAATGTAACAAGACTAAGCGTTAAATATATGATCTTCATCCATAACATTATTTGACATTTCTGCTTCTTTATCATCTACCCTAAAGAATAATATTTAACGCGTGTAAAAGTAAAAACCCATTCTTAATTTTTTCGTTCGTCACAGTTTGAAATATTGATGTACATGTTTTGCAAATGCCATGTTGCTAATATTACATGATGAAATCTTTTCGTTCTTCTTGATAGCCCATATTAACACTTCCAACAAATCGGCGATGGTTTCCATTTTAATAATATCTATAAGAGAAAATAAAATTGGTTAACCTGAATAAGCGAAGATGTCGTATCCTCTTTACTCGATCTTTCATCTGAAGAACATCGATTCCATAAATCAATATCATGGTGGCAATCTTCTTTTTTAAGAAACCCATAAAATCTTCGGTAATCGATAATTCTCTTATAAATTTTCAAAAGCATAGATACATCTGAACTTTTGAGCTCCCCATTCCATAAACTGTTTACATATAATGAGATGTTTTTCAAAAACAGTTGGCATTAATTTTTGAGCTATATATTCTACACTTGTTGCATCAGAATACAATCTTCAAAGACATTCCTGAATGATTGAGAACTAAAAGTTTAAAGTTTTCTCATGGAGAACCGGTAATCTAATGTCAATATTTGCTTCAACCGATTTGCATATGTTGTTGTAGGTCCAAAATGTAAGCATTTACATCTGCTACTTGAGTAGTTGAAATTTCGCTATAAAATCTGAAAAATAGATCGAGTTGATGTTGAAAATCATCATAAAAATTTCTAAGTTTGACAAATTCACAAAACATAAAGTTTTCTTTTGAAAACTTCTGCATCGAAAGTTGAATAATTTTTCATCAGGATATTCTAGAAGTTGTTGTAACAAATTTACATCTATCATTTGTTCGTGAAGTAATCCTCCGAGATAGTATTTATAATAAATGGGTTGAAATCATGTTTTGAAACATTTCATCATCTCGTAATATAATTTGCCAACATTAGGTTTAAAATATGTGGAAAATAGATATTAGCGATTGGTCTTGAAATATGGTATAATAAATTAATTAAAAAAATTAGATATTTGTGATTACGGCTTGAAAAGAACTTACGAATTTTGAATTTTGAAAATTTTCCTTTGCAATCACAAATTATATATATATTAATTCGTTGGAAATTATCATTTAATATTTCTTTTTGAATTTCTGAACATCCCTTTGTTCTTTCTATTGCAATGTCTTCAAAATCTAGTCAAAATAATACCTTAATAAAGCAAGGATACATTCATTCTAATCGTTCAAATACTGCAATAAAGGAGAGTAATTTTCGTTCAAGTCTTGGATTTGTCCACTTTCAAATCGACTTTCGAGTAATAATAAAGCGCGACTCCAGTAGCCACAGAAACTTCATCGCGATTACGTTTTTAAAGTCTTTTTAAATGATACTCTTAGGTATAGCATCGTCATTAGTAATATTTTCTCGTACTCGATCAATAATGACTTGAAGATGTTTATCCAATGTTTTATCACTCCGGAGAGTCCACGTTATGACATATTTGAATTAACCACTCTATATCAACAAATTTATTAAATCGGAAAATATACAATTTATATTATTTAACATTTACCTTGGAAAGTTTAAATAAGTTTTAAAACTCAATGCCTTAACATAGTTACTAATATTTTCAACCTCTATCAATAAATTGAATAATTAGAGGTTGTAAATGTGGAGTGAGTAAATATATCATATTTCCTGTGATAAGAAAAATCACATGAATTATATAAGTCATATGTAATTGTGACGTATAAATACTGTTTTTTTTACATCAATAAATAATATCTTTTACAAATTTTTTTTAAATTTTTATTCTTAAAAAATGAAATCAAAGAAGACCGTAAAATTTAATACTGCTCGTGAACTTTTAAAACAATCCATTTTTACAACCTAAAACATCCATAAATATTGACATTGAAAAAGAAATTTATTCCCGTGTAACAAATTCAAGGTTACAATAAGAAACCATTACAAACTTCTCAAATTACAAATCTTGAACCACATGATTTACCAATTAATATGCCTTTCAATCATTGTAGTAAAGAAAAGGCTCCGATGTTTAATAATTGTCACTTTCAAAATGTTAACTTTTACTTTATTTATAATAATAAATGCTTGTAATAATGTAATATTTTTTAAAAAATGCTTTTTACTATATCAAGCTTATTAAATAAAAATATATTAAATATTTTGCGGTACGATTTTCGTTTGATATATCATGGTAATTGCGTCATGTTGCTATTTTCACGGAAAATTCAACTCCGATAGTGAATCCGGTAAAATATCAATATTGAAACATCACGGGCGAACAATTAGTAAGCGGGTAATATTGTACAATATACATTTTATCTTTTATTTGAAAAATTTTTATTAAATATAAAAAAAACAAAAAAAAAAATAGTTTCGTACCATTACAAAATATTCATAACTTCGACATCCCGCGAAAACCCAACATAAGCAATTTTGCTTGTTTTCTTTGATTAAAGTGTTCAAATTATACCTTTATAAGTGAAAAGAAGCGCGTCTTGATATGATTAAAAAACATAACTATAACCACTCCAGCTAGACCTCTAAAATTACTATGTAAGTATTACATACCTTATGAACGTTAATTTTCGCTGTTTAGGTTGACAAAATCACTAAAATTTCCTTGTGAAATTCTATACAAAACAATAAACGCGTTTGTTGAAATTATTTAAAATATAAAAGGGAAATAAAAAATTAAAAAAAATTTATTATTGGTAATTATTATAAATTAATTAATGTGGCTAGTGATGAACCAATCAGTCTAAGATAAGGATTTGAGCCCCCTGTCTAAATTTAAGTTTTCTCTTGTTTAAAAAATAAACTCTTGACGATTTTGTAACTAATCTTCTTTGCTCTTAACGTAATTCCATTATTGTGGTCGAAATTTGAGTTTTCATTTGCAAAACAAATTTTAAAATTTCCTCCATATTCTTTGGCACATTATAATTTTATATTTGAAAATAAGGTGCTTTTTATTTATTGACTCATGTCATTTGACCTGGATCACGTGATCATATTTCCGTAACACTCTTTGATTAACCTCAAAAAGCTTTTTTATAATTTAGTAATATATTATTTTCCTTATTCGCATGTGAGTTTTAGCCAGATATAAACTATTTACCACAGTTATTCGGCACTTCATGCCTCGTAACTATTGAATATTTATTATATTTGGAAATTAATAATAAGTATAAATACTTTCAGATCAATGGTATCATTTGAATTTGTATATTCAATGAAAGTATTTGCAAGAAATTACAATTTTATGTTGCTTCTGATTGGTTATTACCACTAAAAGATAATCTATCAATATTTACAACAAAAAAATTAATTTATTAAAATAATTGCTCAGGACACACAACAGAACAGATTCTGTAAACCTAGTTTAATTTACTGTTCAAACTATATATTTTTTTAAAATATAGTGTATAAATGGCATAACTTTGATACACTGTTGTGATATTTATTTCTTTATTTATTTTCAAAAAAAAAAATATGACTTAAATGCGAAACATGCCCAGAAATTACGACACCGAATATAAAAAAAAAAAAATCATCAACGCTTCTTGAGGAAAATTTATAATAAACCAGCTCGAGTTAATTCAAAAGATTAAATATCAAGTAAATATAAACTACTAATTAATTAAATTTAGTATATTGTCAGTTCTAGTTAAAGGTTTAATAGTTTTTTAATACTATAAATTAATACGCGATTGTAGTTGTCGATAAAGGCGCTTAGCAATAATTTTTTTTTTTTTTTTTAAATGATTTTAAATTGTAAATCCAATTTAAGAAACCATTTTCAATTCTAAAAGCATATTTATTTACATTGTAACGATAAAATCTTTGTTTCGAAATAGTACAAAAAATTTTAAAATCATTACTAAATCATATTTCATATATGTTATTAGGATGCTAAATAATAAATAAATTTAATAAATAATTCATGATACAATAAAATCAAATATAAAGTAATCATCAATAACTTACAAGATCACAATGTATAATTTCATTGTCATGTAACCATAAAATTGCACTCGCGATTTCATTGGCAAATTTTAATTGACTTTCCCAGTTAAAAGTCATGGCGTTGTCTCTTAAATATTTTCTTAATGTTCCACCATCCGCATATTCAAGTATTAGTTCATAATTTATTTCATCTACATAATACAAAAAGAGGTGTGAGCAAAATACTCAATAAAACTAGGGAAAGGTAACCGTTCTAGTCCGAAGCATAATTCAAATCATAATTTATTATGTTTTTTTTAGTGTTCAATTTTTGTGAAACACGTGTGACATGACATCAGCAACGCTTTCTATTGGGTGATCACATTTGATATGATATGCTATGCTTCGGACAATTACTATTCTTTTTACCTTTTAAATTAGTAATTCCATAAAATTTAATTATTATTTGGATGAAAAACAACTTTTTTTCTCATGATTTCCATTAAATGAATCTAACAAAGAATATAATTAACGAGATAATATATACAAATTAATAAAACTATAAAAGTAAATATCAAACCTCGTTTAGGATCATTTCTTTCGTAGAACCTTCCACAAATTTTTTAATTGCGAGTTTTGTTTGGGTGTGCTTCCAACATGCCTCATAGACTGAAGTCGAAACTCCAGAACCGATTTCAGACAAAACCTTAAAATCTTGTGATTTATGATAAGGTATGTCGAAATCTTTGTGACGCAAATGTACTGCAATCACTTTAAAGTTTAATGTCTCATCATCCTTGTGGTGTTGCAACTACAATAAAGTTCAAAAGTATTAATTCGGTGACAGCGCGTATGGGGTTCTTTGCAGCCGGTATTATTACGACTGCTTTTTATTGCAGTCGCAGTTTGTAGACGGATGCGCGTCTCGTTATAGCAGTTTTGAGACGTGCGCGCGTCTCATTTTTACCGCAGCCGAAAAAAAAAAACCATTTTGTTTGGGAAGGATCTTCCTTTTTTTCGCAGCGTACAGAATTTTATGCAGGTTGTAAACATGGTAACACAATCAATATTAAAAAAAGATCGTCAGGTGTGTTATGATGACTTGGCCAAACGGAAGCTATATTATTTTTCTGGGTTTTTATATAAATTGGAATGTTACGCAATATGTATATGTCTAGTATCACATAGAAGAAATGTGTAAATTCCTGTTGGCGTTTTCACATGTTCCAAACATTTTCTTTATATGAATTTGCAATTTTTCCTTTTTTCTTTACCATTTTTAGAAAAAAATTAATCGTCTAATATTTATCATAACATTTTATGATCTATAGTATATGAACAGTTACGATTACTATATCTTATGACTGGCATATACATGTATACACCCCCTTGGAACCATAGTGAAGATCTGAAAAAAATGTGATTTTAAAAAGGGTGTATGCTTAAAAAGAAATTTTTAATATGATCTCTATATGCTTGGGACTGAATGAGAGCATTTGGAGATAAATACATATTGTGTGCATTTTAGAGAGGGTACGTTTAGAGAGGTTTGACTGTATATATTCCTCTCATTTCTGATCATGCCGAATAAGGAAATGTAGATGAAACGTTGATATTTCTGAATTGTACGACTGGAGCTTTTGCAATCCAACCAATTTTGTCAAAACACCCACGTCTTACTTTAGTACATAAAATTACTTCGATCTCATAAACCTTATGTAGAAGATATTGACATTAACTCATTTTTTTTTTATTGCATTGCAAAGGTTCCATATTATAAATTAATTAGAATTTAATAAAATTATAAGTTCATTGTTTATCGTAATTCAACGATCCTCCGCACACCATCATACTGAATTGTTATTTTTCAATATTAAGTGCTCTTTTTTCATCAAATAATTCATTGGAGAGAAAATTTAAAATTTTCTATTTACGAGACGCATAGTTGAAACGGGGGCATATACAACAAGAAGTTCCCCGCACGGACAAAATGCGAATTATATTTGTGTGATTACAAATAAATTGTTTTCCTAACCGAACATTTCGATCACTGCGACCCAAAGCGATCGAATCCGAAAAAATATAAGTAAATATAATATAAAACTAATATATGCAGGAAAAAATAAAGAAAATATTCGATTGATGCGCCCCGAAGCGACGAATACGCCTTCATCATATCTAAGCTAAAAGTAGTAATTGAAAAAAATGAATTAATAATTTTTTATCATTTCAAATTTTTTTTTTTTAATGGTAAACAAAATAAAGATTTAATTGTTCGTACGCAAAACTGGTGTTATAAGATGTCTAAAACTCAGCAATTAAATTAACCAAAATTTGGTTCAGCGCAAAAAAAGAAACTTCTACATTAAGGCAATGTCTGACCAATAAAACGCAGAACAGGTAATAATAAAATTTATTTAAGTTTTTAAAAGCTAAATATACACTTATTCTAAAATTTAATTTACGATAAATTAATTTGTATTTGTGAAATCACAACAAAAGTAGCGAAAAATATCAAACTTAATTCATAAAAAAAAAAAAATTATTTTTCAATAATATAATTTAATTTTGATACGTCACAATCAGAAAAGTTGTCTTCATTTTCTAATTCAATTATTTCACTCTCATCATTTTCTATAAAATTAAAATGACTTTTAGGATCAATACCATTAAGCTTTAAAATTACTTGATTAATATCTGGTCTCTCATCTGGTTCATGTTCCCAACAGTCTATTAAATTAAAGAAAAGATTTAATAAAAAGAATAAACTTATAAAAATAAAAATAAAATTATTCATACTTTGATAAAGCTTAACAAATACGCTATTTGTAGTTGAAATGGGCTTTTCTCTTGCACCTTTAAGAATTTCAATCTGAATAAAAGAAGTATCACCTGTCGTTTCAAAATTGAAAGGAGACGAACGACTTGTCAATTCCCAGAATAATACTCCCAAGCTATAAATATCAGATTTTTTGTTTAAGTTATATAAAGGATCTTCAAAAATTTTAGGATCCATATAAGGTATTACACCATGTGCCGCTTTAGTATCTGATCCTTGTAGACACGAACGTCCAAAATCGGCTAATTTTATTGTACGTTGATGGATTAAAACGTTATTGGAATGCTAAATATAATAAATAAATTTAATAAAATAATTCATAATACAATAAAATCAAATATATAGTAATGATCAATAACTTACAAGATCACGATGTATAATTTCATTATCATGTAACCATAAAATTGCACTCGCAATGTCGTTGGCAAATTTCAATTGACTTTCCCAGTTAAAATTTATGGAGTTATCTCTTAAATAATTTCCTAACGTTCCGCCATCCGCATGTTCAAGAATAAGTGAATAATTTATTTCATCTAAATAGTATAAAAAGGGCGTGAGCAAAAGTACTTAAATAAATTACTAAATAATAATTCTTTTACCCTTTAAATTAGTAATTCCATAAAATTTAATTATATTTGGATGAAAATCAACTTTTTTTCTCATTATTCCCATCAAATGAATCTAGAAAGAATATAATAATTAATCGGAATAACAATATATATATATATATTAATAAAACTATACACGTAATATCAAACCTCGTTTAGAATCATTTCTTTCGCAGAACCTTTGGCAAATTTTTTAATTGCAAGTTTTGTTTGAGTATGCTTACAACATACATCATAAACCAAAGCTAAATCTCCAGAACCGATTACAGAAAGAACCGTAAAATCTTGAGAGTTATGATAAGGAATGTCACAACCCTTGTGGCGCAGCTTTACGGAATTCACTCTAAAGTTTGGTGTATCATCTTTATCGTGCAGCTATTTTCAAATAGTTTTTCTTACTACCATATTCGGCTTAGTATGCGGGAAAAAAAAAACCGGTGAGGATCTTCCTTTCTTTCCCCGAAAGCAGATTTTAAACATCAGATATTGCGTAGCACGTAGATGAACAATTGTAAGTTGTGATCTCAAAATTTAGTTATATTTAGTTATAATAAAATAAGTATTTTTATAAAAAAAACCAAATGTTAGAGTGAAGTTAAATTATAACCACTCATAGGTTTTTAATGAAATTTTTTAGCGACTTGGGTTGACTTGTATGAAAGTTGTTAACATCAAAAAACTGTTATTATTCCGTTGGATTTGATAAATTTCGAAATTATTGCAATACAAAGTCTAATCAAAATTATATTCCATAGGAAGTGTAATGAAGAGAGTAGGAAAGAAAAAAGAAAAAAAAAAATGTAAATTTGTTTCATATAGCGTTTTGGGTTTCCTTGTGAGCTATATTAAGATATATTAAAATAATCTCTATTTCTGCGTAACCATTTTACCCATTTAGGATTAGAAATAAGATTCAATAAATACATTAAAAATAATATTTTTTTTTTTTGACGTTTGAAATTATGATAATTAAATAAAAAATAAAATAAAATAAACATAATGCATAAATATGATATATGGGACAGCTGCCGGGAAAAATAAAAAATGAGTTAATGTTAAATCATATAATTCTCTTTATCCCTTTCATTACATCCTCAAAACCAGAAAAATTTTATCTTGAATACGCGAATTAACATTAAAAGCTAATTGATTGTATGATAAAATTCTAAAATTTCATAACTTTTGAAATGATCTATTTTATTTTTTAGGGTGAACATGTACGAGGATTTTTGATGGTGATCCTGGGATAGTTAGCTTGCCTCCCATTTATTTAATAATAATAATCATAAATTTATGTACTGTACTATATAGTATTGAATCCATAAAAGTTATTTACAATTTATAAGAATTGTTATAGATTATTAGAATAAGGACGCTACGAATCGTTAGTTTGGATAAACGTATGGTGTGAGTTTTGGAAACGGGAAGGACATAAATGACCAAACTTTGCTTTTCAAAACTACTTTACAGAAACTTTGTTTCCTTACAATGGTAATTATCATTATTCTCTTCAAAGTTTGTACCATAAATTCTATGTTGTATACATCCATTATTATTACACAATAGTTTCTAACATTTAATTCTTCTTCGGAAAAAAAAAATAATAATTAAATCAAAAATTATCGAGTACTCACTCGTGAAGTCCGAAATTCAAGTTCCACGACGTGGGGTATAAGAAGTGAAGTTATTGTTTCGTACTAATTTGTACGACCCTTTTATTATTATCAACAACAGTTCAACACGATATCGAATTCATCATATTTCGTATATTAAAAATCTGAGCCCAATTACTCTTGCGTTGTCTCCAAATAGTGTTTTTGAAATTTCTACAAGATTTTTACCAAATGAATTTACATAATTACGTTTTTGAACGATATCAAATAAACTTTAATATTTGGATTACGTTCAAAAATATGTTATCTATCAATTCGAAAAAAGTTTTCATATAAATAACATTATCAACATCCGGTAGTGAAGAATCGTTTTTTATTAAAAATTAAAAATTTGTAATATCATATCAGTTTCATTGAATTACTATAATATATTTTTTTTTTTTGGTGTTCATTCATAAGATAATTCAATTACAGAAGATAATCGTAATTTTTCTCTTACTTTATTTACTTAGGTATTTGATGTAATTAATAATCGATAATGGACACAATCGATGTGGAAAATTGGTTGAATTAATAAATAAAAAATAATCATATGTTAATTAATTTTTTAATATATATTCTCAGATCGAATCTCTACAATATTTTTGGTGATTGAAAACTCGTCATATAAAATTAATAATCGGAAATAACTGATTATCTCCAAATATAAAAAGTTGAAAAAAAATTTGCATAATGGATTCTTCTAATGCAGGAATCTAATATTAATGTATTATTACCATTTTAATGTATGTACGGCGTCATTAAATTTTGAAAAAGGTATGTCTGTACGTAAGCGTGTGAGATCCATTAACTTGCTACCTTGTAAATATAAGCTTGTAAAACTTTATTTTTTTTATTTTTCATAAAATTTACAATTATTTGCACAATTCTTTTTGAATTTTGTTGGTCGTCCTTCCAATAGTTTTTTAGTTGCCATATTGCTAAAACAAATATTGGTTTGCTTTAGAAAAAGTTAAAATTTGTATTTTAGTTCACAATATGAAATTTAATTAAGGGAGAAGTAATGATTTTTTAGAAAAGATATTTATAAGAAAATATCATACCGATCTGATTAAAACAATTAATAAATTTTTTTATGATGATATAACATGCATGGGTGCGTTGATAATTTCATTTTTTTTAAAAAAAAAAAAAATTTTTTGTTTAATTGTAGAAGCCAATTGCAACTTATAATTTTATTATAGCTTTAGCAAAGATTTCTATTTCACTGAATATATAAATGATTGATTAATCACACATTCAACACAAAATTAATAAATTTTAACCTATAGGACCCTCAATTCTATGAATTGTTGAGAACCAACCAAATTCAAAAAAAATTTTCTCATATTAGTAAATGTTATTGATGCTGATAACGTAAACATTTCATAATGAACATACTTTATTATATCTCCATGGAGCGCGATAACAAAATATCCAAACGTGTATGAAATCTGGATAAAATTTTCGATCATTGATTAAAAATTTCATTTCGGCTTGAAAAGTAATTGTTCTGCTTTATTAACGTATTTTGGTGATTTTCTTATAAAAAAAATAAGAAAATTATTTTTTAGGAATAAATAAACATCATCATTTGAAAATACTAATACAATTACTTAATTACTTACGAATCTGAATCTGAACTTTCAGGCCATTCAACATTTGCCGTTTCTTCTAATATTTCACTACACGGAATACGATTATGTTAAAAAAAAAAAAAATTTTTTTTAAAAAAAAAAAAAAAAAAAAAACCTTGTCTTAGTTCCCTCATCATCAATATATTTTAATAATGAACGTCCTTGATTAAATAAATTTTGATGATCAAAAGAAATTCTATATCTTTCTTTCAATGTTTTAGGCAACAAGAGAGTTTTGGAAATTTTCTTTCTTGGCTTTGGTGGAACTTTATTAACTTTATTAGCAAGTTCTTTCCTTTTCTTTGGAATTAACTGAAAAACTTCATCGGTTATTGACCACAATTCACGATCTTTTTCGGTTACATCTTTCATATTTAATCGAGCCTTTTTATTCTTATGACTTCTCGGTGAGAGACTTTCTAATTGATCCGTTATTTTTTTAACAGACTTTGTTGGAAAATAATTTTCATTAATTCGTTTTAGACATTCTTTCCGATTTTCTACATATTCATCTACATGATCTTTCAGCACATTCATCAATAAAATATCATCTTCAATTGTCCAATTTTTTCTACTTTGTTTTATTTTATCAACTAACGGATAAAATTCATCTGCTTTCGCCCAAAGTTCTTGCTCTTTTTTCTCATCTTTATTCTTTCGACTCTTTTTACCTAATTTATACAAATTACTTAAATTATACGCTTTACATGTTACATTCCTCACAGAAAATTGTGGAAAATGATTTTCCCGAATTCGTTTTAAACATTCGTATTGCCCTTTTATATACTCATCTATATGTTGTTTCATAAGTTCCATTAATAAAATCTCTTGCTCAATTGTCCAAATTCTTTCTGGCTTTTTTATAATAGAAGGTTCTTTAACTTTGGCATGTTCTTCAGACATCTCACTACACTCTTCATCTAAATCTTCAACTATATCATCCTTATCTTCTTCCTCAACTTCATCTTCATGATCTGTTTCTTTACTTAAACTTTCCAATTCCATTCGATTTACGGTTCGATTGTCATCACTTTGTTGTTTTTCATCACCACCATCACCATCACCATCATCACCAATATCACTCTGAAATTTTTTTTGTCTTTCCATTAATTCTTGAACTTTCTTAAAATAAATCCAATTATTTTCTGTTTTCCGTCGTTCTTTATCATATTTTTGGTGTAACCTTGTCCATTGGCTATAAATTTTTAAATGACTGTACTTATCCTGAAATACAACTTTACTCAGCCACTTGTAAAGGTCTCTTTTATTATATTGCCACTGGTAAAAATTCACGGACAAATATTCGAGTAATAAGGTGATCTCCTCTGGCTTCCATACAAGTGTTTTTGTTACTTTGCTAGTTGTAGGATCAACATTCACCTGACGAGGTGCAAGGAATTCACAATCATCTAAATTTGGATGTACGTATTGAGGCATCATCTTTTGCCTCTTGTGATCAAAGTAAATCGGAAACGGAGCTCCTAGATCATTGTCTGAGGAAACTTTTATGGTAGTTGACGTTTCCATTTTTTTTTTTTTTTTTATTTTTATTTTTATTTTTTTTAATTAATTAAAAATTGGACGTCTGAAAGAAAAAAAAAAATTTTTTTTTTTTCACAAGATTTAAAGATCGTATCACATGAATTACGTCAAAACAAAAGGTGATCTACAGATCTACGGATCGTGCGCCAAATATATTTTTCTTTCTAAATTTAAAAATATTTTTTTTTTTGTGTCACAAATAATTTCTTTCCAGATCTCTAACAAGTTATGTTTCTGACAAATCATTTATTCAAAAGAACGTTATCTAACTTCAAATTTCAACGGTGTGAGAAATTGTTTCCATATTTTAATGAGATAATAATGGTACAACAGGAACAACAAAGAGGTGTTATATCTGGTAAAAATGAATCCAAAAACAAAACTACACATTTGGAAAGGACGAATCATTTAGAAAGACAAAAGGTATAATAAAATTTATCGAACGTAATTTTTTTCGTTTTATGAATTGAAAAAGCAATTAAATGATTCCTTTTTTTGTTCTAGATAATGATTCCATCAAGGATTATAGGAATTGAACAAGAAACGCCAACGGTCAAAACATTTAAATTTAGTCCAACAAGTTCATCACTGCAATTTTCATTTCTACCAGGTCAATGGTTAGATGTGTTTCTTCCAAATGTACCAATAGTGGGAGGTTTTTCATTAACATCAACACCACAAACGTTCACGAAAACTAAAACATTTGAATTAGCAATAAAATATTCAGGTCATCCACCTGCTAAATGGCTTCATGAACAAGCGAATATAGGTGATGAAATTAATGCTAGAGTAGGTGGAGAATTTGTATGGAATTCATCAAAAGAAAGACAAGATCAAATTGGACATGTAATATTCATCGCTGGCGGTGTCGGAATTAATCCTTTGATTAGTATGTTGGAATCAATTTGTCAAGATGAAGAAAGTAACCAGTATGAAAAAATTAAGAAGATCATATTACTGTACAGTGTAAGAACTTTTAGCGAATTGTTGTTTTATAAGAGGATTGAAGGGTTGCAACAACAATTTCCGGGATTGTTAGAGTGTAAGTATTTTTTGACAAGAGACGATCCGAAAGATGAAAGGAGGGATGGTGAATTTTATTATCGACAACGGATCAATAAGGAAATTTTGACAAACGTTGTTGAGAAAGAAAAAGAACATTTAGAAAGACTAAAGTGTTTTGTGTGTGGACCTTCTGCAATGGAGGATGATGTAATTACATGGTTAAAAGAATCTGGCGTTGACGAAAAGAGAGTTTTATTTGAAAAGTGGTGGTAGTTTTTCTATAATATATATATTTATTTAATTTGTAGAATTAATATTTAAATTAATTAATTTGATTTAATGAACGCGAAAAAAAAAGAGTAAATTTTATATTGTGTTTGATTTGTTTGTGCCATTAAAAGGCTACATGATCTCCTCAGGCTATGTTTGAATTACAGGGACATCAATGAAACGAAATTTATTGTCGTAAATTAGAAATTTCAAGGTCATACCGTATAAAGGGATCGTCATCTCTTTGTCGAAAAAAAAATAAAATAGATCTTTGAAAAAATTTTCGTGATCTAAACACGTGATCATGTGTAACAAAATTTAATCCCCACGATTCTAGTTTGTTCCAATTTTATTTTATTGTTTTAGTACTGTGGACTTCAATTTTTAAGACGATTTTCAATCCTAAGGACGAGTGTGTTAATAATTCGGAACTATATTTGTGGGAAAAATCGAAATTCTATAATTGGGAACTTAAATTAGAAAATCAATGGAAATTGTTATTAAATCCCTGATGTTGTGCGTCATAACGAATGACGTGTATCTTAAAGTTATCGATCCTGAGTAAAATTTATAATATTTTATGTAACATTAATACAAGATTTCATTGAAAATAGAATGTAATCTATTTTTATTAATTAAGTAAACTTTGTTCTTCGTATTAACAAATATATTTACTTTTATACTTGTGGTGATCGAATTGATAAAGTGTATGTTGCATATTTGTGTAAAAAAAAAAAAATAAATAAACGAACTTGAATTTTACTTTGTGGGTATTCTAAACGTGACTTCACGTGACGATAACGTAATATAGATTTGGACACAGCTCTTTAATTACGTATAAAATGGGGGCAATTAATATTTTTATTCGTAATTTGCAGGATAAAAACCATTCTATCTTTAAAATGGTTTATTTCTGGTTAAAACTCACATGCGAAAGATGAAAATATAGATTACCAAATTATCCTAAAGTTTTTAAGGACCATCATCATTAATAAACGAACTACATAATTGCGTAGTATATAACTTATCAAGAAATCCATTTTATTTTACACTAAGAAATGCTCTTGGAAAAAAATTTTTTTTCATTTATAAAAGTGTAGAAGCGCTTTCGGCCAGAAAATCATATTTGCCATATAAAAGTAAATTTGATTTTTCCTGGTGATATCTTTGAGCATATAATTGAAGGTATATTTTTTCCGTTGAGTATTACGTTATTTGTCAGGTAAGACGGTGGTGAGTGTTGTTGAATTCGCGAGATATCGTAAAAAGGTCTGTTGATGCATCGTATTTTTATTTTATTTCTGTGAATTAATTTTATACTTTCTGCGAAATATTTACTTAAAAAGTAGGAAGCATAGACGACCTTTATTGATTAAACAATCAACGCAAATTTTCCACATGAAATAGGAATAAAGTGAAGCTAAAATTACCACTCTAACAGACTCCATAATTACATTGAATGATCTCAATTTTCTACTAAATCATCATTACCATCACGATGTAAGTGTTTAAATTTCACTAAATATACGGTAATTATAAGTATTCCTTCTTAATATTCACTTTTATAAAAAAAACCCTTCCTCTTATTGATTTTTATATCAAGTTTAAATTTAAGTATAATTCTATGGAAAGGATTTATTTGAGGAGTGGATCGGTGCATCTTTAAACAACAATTAACTTGTGAAAAGTATAATTGGTATTATGTAATGGATTACTGGCCTATAAGTTGATCAGCTTATATTGAATAAATCTTATGTTTAGTGAATAAACAAGAATAGTTATTACTTCTAGTATAGCTTTCAATAAGGTATCTATTTTTAAAAGAAAATCGAAATATCATATATTGGTATATTACAAGCTTTTCTGCCTTATCTCGCTAAATACTTGGCAATTATCCTCATCAAAATCTATAATTTATACAGAGGGTTATCAAAAGTTTCCGAACGCTATTTTTGAAACGCGATTGATATATATAAAAGATAATGTTTACATACATTTATGTTTGTTTATTTGTTTATTTTGCTTTAAATAACATTTTAACTTCAAATTTCCCTTTTCACTTTTTTTTTTGCAACTTACGGCTACAACTACAACAATGAGAAAAAAATAACGAATTAACTGCGGAGCAATGTGGTGCGATAATTTTTTTGTCGTAAAAATGGTGATTCATATAGTAAAATTGCAGAAACTGTAGGATGTGGCAAAACAACAGTATATGACACATTGAAAAGGCATGCTGAAACTGGTTCCACCCATCCTTGCTGATCTTGAAAGGGATGTTAAAAATGCATGGAAATTAATTCCAAAATGTGTAATTGAAAATTTAGTCGATACTATGCCAGCACGAATTCAGGCGGTGATAGTGGCAGAAGGTGGCCAATTAAATACTAGTTTAATAGTACGAAATGTAGCCTTTAATACCCATAAAATAAAGTTATAATATAGATTTTTTATTGAGTTTTAAAAATTAAATGTTTTATATTGCATAAAAAATTGTTCGGAAACTTTTGATAACCCTCTGTAGGATGGATGGCATTACTTCTTTCTATTGCGTCATCAAAGTTCTTGCCCACAAATTTTAAAATTTGTTCGTTCGAGAATGCCCTTTTAGGATAATTTCTTTTAAAAAAAAAATGATCAACTGATTGGAGCAATTATAAATTTATAAATGGATGACGGCTAGCCAAATTTTGACCATATTGAGCATTCCAAATTAATAGCTACCTTTGAAGTAATAATCATATGAAAAAGTAATTTTCGGAATCTGTCATGGATTATTTTTTCGATCCATTTGTCACTCACAGGTTAGGATTAGGGTAAGTTAGTTTCGACGTGTCAAGTTCGCAAATTAGATATCGACCACATGATCGATTTGAATTTTTTCTTAGTAATACGAGTAGTTTAAAAAAGTAAATTATATGATCCAAAAATAGCAAATAGCCCACATGGTTACATGTTACACGGTCCGTCTTTCTCACGGCTTATATGGCAAACTTCCAAAACAAGTAAGGATTAATAAATAGGTGTTTCAATTTTCATTTTTTATTATCTTGATTTCTAACAATATTCATAAAGTCCATATACTTGGTTAAACAATTTAAACGAACCATGGATGAGACAGATAATAACGGAATTCGTAGAACCTTTCAGGTGAATTTAAAGATGGGAAAGGAAAGCAAGTACCCTTTTGAATAAATATAATAAAACGTGTTTTATGTAGGCAAAACAAAATTCACACTCCATATGGCACCACGGGCAAGCTGATGACTCCACCCTTTACTCGTCCAATTCCTATAATCACAATTTGGGACGCCTTAGCCCTGCTTTGGACGTACTATATAAGTCGTCCTCCCAAGAAAAAAACGACGCTCCAAGATCAGATTTCATATCTGGAAAAGATGCAGGAACTATTGGTGAAAAAAATTATGGAAATGACAGAGATGGATCTTCTATCTCGCCCAGCAACAGTAAACCTCACATTTTCAATACGGAAAAGGATGATTTCAAGGTACATGTTTGGGATGTCGATCCGTTGTGGGAAATCGAAAATCGAGGAATTCAACAAACAAGCGACAAATTCGAGATTGATAGCGATACAGATGTTGGAGTGGAGCTCGAGTTTTGTCCTAACCGACAAAAAATTCAGTCGATGCATCCATCCTTGGGAAATTGTGCAGAATTGGTTCCCCGGATGGCAATACGTGGTCAAAAGAAATCCCAAAAACACCGTGTCGTTATATACACGCACACTCTTGCCTTACCAAGGAAGCCCACAAGGAATGTGGAAGTCAAATACCCATGCATGAAGTGTCAGTTGATGGCAGATTTGATGGATCGCAAGGGCATTGCAACAATTTGTTCATTGTAGATAAGATTGAAAATGAATCAGATCGACGTCGGATCGCAACCTTCATTAGTTATGAGTTTACCGATGAAAATGACGATCTGATCTTCTATAGTGAATGCGTTAAAGAATATGGCTTGAATCATATCATTGTCATTGGCCAGCTTGATTTCGGAATAATTTTCTTAGATTGCTACGGTCGTGTATTTGAGTTTAATGACATGAGTCAAATGTTTTTACCACTTGGGAATTCTCTTGCTGAGTTGTCAATAAAAAACCAAGCTCCTCATGTGGCATGGATTATAAAATCTGATGGAGATTTATATGAGTATGGTATGTGTGGTATGAGAGTGAAGATTGTTAATTTTAGTACTATTTTGATAATATTTTTCTTTCTTTCAGATCTTCAACAATATTTTGTAAAGAAAGATAATAAGAGCAAGAAGAATTCGAAAAAGAAGAAAAGGAAGAAAAGGTGATCAATGACCTTTCAAAATTACAACGTATTTGCATAATTTTACTACATGGTAATATTCTTTTATTTGAAATAATTTATTTGAAATAACGGTCGTAGCTAATTAATAATGATTCGTAACAAAAAGTTTCTCAGTTTGCTTAAGTTCTGTATGTGGTTGCAGTGAATAAAATTATTGATAATTCATAAATTTAAGTACAAGATCGTTACCATAATTTTTATTGGAAGTTAACATCAGATGGTATAAAGTAGTAAAAAAAAACTCGAGAATTTAAAAATTAGTTGAAAAAATGCATCAAAATAGTGATGACTAGAAAATTTTCGAAAACGCCGTAATAAATCGAAATTGAAGCATGATTGTGAATGAAACGCAAAACTTTAATTTAATCACTCATTTCCATGTAATTTGCGTAATATTTGCACACATTTCGGGATTTATTTTATTTAGAGATGTTAAAAAAACCCATGGAACCAGGTCCTAAAATCCTAAACAGTCGTATGAAGTTATGTCCAGTTCATCTTATAAATTATAATCTATCTAATAGATTAACTATGACCACTTTGTCAAATTGGTGGTCATGTCAAATTTGTTAATCATTCCCAATCACGTGACTGGCCGCAGTCAAGGATCACGGCCTGCATAACCTTCAAAAATGTCACGAAATGGTCGGCACATGTGACATATAGTCGTGACAAATAGGATTTCACCTAATTCTTAGTATAAATGAAACGTGACACCGATGACAATTATATCACGTAAAATTTCGTGATATTTTTTGAAGGTTACGCAGTGGAAGTCAGGATCAACAAACATTTTTTTTATAAAATGGTGATTAACTTAATTTTTGAAAGTGCAAGTTTTTCATGTAATGAAGTAATATTAGATATTATAAAGTTATTGTTATAGTATTTATGATGTATATGAAAATATTACTCAATAAATATATAATACAAATTCTTATATTTTAGAGAAATTAAATAATAGATAACGTCTTAAATCACCTGATTCACAATATTTCATGATTATTACATAATCTTTGGAAATAGGATCATGAGTGATTCCATAATATTTATTTATATAATCAGACATAAGAGATCCAATATTAAGGTTCAGATATCTCTAAAGCTAAATTATAAATGAAAATATAAGTATGTCATATTGTATAATTCTATAAGATCAATATTATTAATATTCTTAAATATTAATTTAAAGAATTAGTAATATAACATAATTATATTATAGGCACTTAATAATACAGTAGAAAAAAAGAAAATTTCAAAAAATATTTTTTTGAGTTAATATTAAATCTGAATTAAAAAGTTTATTTTATTGTTTGTTTCTTTTTTATCATAGTCATTAGAAATTTATTTTATTGAATATGATAATTAGCTTATAAAATAATTCTTTTTTATAGTTTTTTTCTTTCTATTACAAAATATCTATATTTTCTTACATTATTATATTTTAATAATTTAATATTGAAATATTATCTATATATCATAAAAAATTATTTTATTTTAACTTTTTTAATTTAAACTAAATATATTATTATTACAAATTATTATTTATTATAATAAAACCATAATTATTTAATAATAAATATACTAAAACATTAATACAATTTTGATATTACAAATTTTACAATATAATGAATTTTTAGTGTCAAACAGATTTTAAATATAAAAAATCATACTATACTAAATTTGTTAATTAAAAATTTATGATACATTTAACAAATTAAAGTCAGAAAAAATTTATATTTAAAATGTCTCTTATTATAACGAATCGTTCTATAATGAATTTTTTTGATATAATGAAATTTTAAAAGATAGATGTTACTTTAAAGAAAACTAATCCTATAAAAGAGAATATAAAAAAATGTTAGTAAATATTCTCAAAGAAGCCATCCCTCTAAAGAAGGAAAAATTTAACATATCAGTAAGTTTCTAAGATCTAAAGAAAGTCAGTCCTAAAAAAGAAAAGAAAAGAACATTAATAGATATTTTTAGACAGCTTACTCATCTCAAAAAAAAGAAATATAACTTTTCAGTTAGTTCTCAAGTCAAAAAAAGTCTGATCCTAAAAAAAAGAAGAAAAAAAATATTAGTAAACTTTCTTAGAGAAGCTCATCCAATCCTAAAAAGAAGGAATTCAACTTATTAATTAGTTTTTAAGTCTAAAAAAATCTGATCCTAAAAAAAAAAAGAAAAAAACATTACTAAATATTCTTAAAAAAGTTTATCCAATTCTAAGAAGAAGGAATTCAATTTACCAGTTAATTCTCAAGTTCAAAAAAATCTAGTCTTAAAATAAAAAAAAAAAGAATATTAGTAAACATTTTTAAAAAAACCCATATAATCCCAAAAAGAAAGAATACAATTTATCAATTAATTCTTAAGTTTAAAGAAATCCATCCTAAAAAAGAGAAAAAAAAAGAATATATAAACATTTTCAAAGAAATCTACCTAATTTTAAGAAGAAAAAATATAACTTACTAGTAAGTTCCTAAAATCCAAAGAAGGTTAATCCTAAAAAAGAAGAAAAAATTAAAATTTAAAAAATTAAAAAAAAATAAAAATAATAATATTAATGAAGATAAAAAGATTATACTATCAAAAAATTATAAAAATTATAAAAAAAGAAAAATAATAAAAAATATTAGAAGGGAGGAAGAAGTGAGAAAATTTAAAAAATAAAAAATAAAAAACTAAAGAAAAAACAAAATTAAAAAAAAATATATATATTTATAAAAAGAATAAAAGGAATAAATAAAATAAAAAATAAAAAATAAAAAACAAAGAAAAAAAGAAAAATATATATAAATTTAAATAAAAATAGGTAGAAAATAAAAATATTAAAGAAAAAAAACAAAATTAAAAAAATAAATAGATAAAAAACTTACTTATTAATTAATATAACATTTAATGTGATCAAAAAATCTGAATAAAAATAAATCAAAATAAAAAAAAAATAAAAAAAATATAAATAAAGAAAAAAACAGGGAAAAAGGAAATAAAAAAATTAAAAATATATATATATATATATAAAATAAGAATAGAGGAGAATAAAAAATTATATATTCAAGAACAGGTAGGAAAAAATAAAAATATAAAAAGTATAAAAAAATTAAAAAAAAAGAATAAAAAGGAAAAAATAAAAAAAGTATAAAATGAAATGAAAGTAAAATGAAAAAAACTAAAGGGATAAAAAACATAAATAAAAAAAAAAGGATCAGAAGGTAAAAGAAGAAGAAAAATAATAAAAATAAAAAGAAAAGAAGTGAAATTTTTTTAACTTATTATATTAATCATTTTTATTAGTTCAATTCATTATAATGAAATATTTATTATATATACTAAATAATTCATTATAATGATAATTAAGATTGTTTATCTAAACTTATTTTAGATTTGGCAAAATATTTAAACTATATTTTCACTAAATCTTTATTAAAGTTTTAATATAGTTTCACATTTTTATAAGCTTTGATATAATTTTACCTTTTTCAGAATTTTATAGATTTTTTAATAAGGTTTTAATATAATTTCATCTTTTTTCTATTTAAATGACTTGTAAAACCTTTAAGTTTCATACAACAACCTTAGTGATAATGAATTTTCTTATAATAAAGATCTGATTGGCTAGATTAGCTACTCTATTATATCGAGATGTAACTGTATTATTTAATAAATATAATTTAAAATTATATTAATAATTATAAATTAAAACATATTAAAATTAATATATTTATAGTTTTATTTTTAAAAATAAGAAATATTAGTATTTTATATTAAAATATAATTTGAAGATAATTTTTAATAACTTTAAAATAATAATATAAAAACTAATAAATTTTAAATTAAAGAAGTTTATAATTAAGATATTTAATTAAGATATTTATATATAGTTGTCTCTTTTTATAATCACTATCCTATAAGTCATACGCTTCTAAAACTAATATTTAGTAATAATATAGAAAAATCTTTCTGTATAGTAATTTTTATTATAATTATGCTTTTTATTTTTAATTCTAAAATATATGACTATAAAGAAAAATGATTGTATATATATATTAAAAGATTTAAAACTTCTTTTTAATTATTTTATTATATTCTTAATTATATAAACTTAATAAAGTGAAACTTTTTCTTTTTTAAAATTATTTTAATAAAAAAATAATAAATAAAAAAGAAAAATAATATTAATATTAAAATAAAAAAATATAAATAAAAAAAAAAAATAGTATTAATATAAAAATAAAAAAATAAAAGAAATTAAAATTAAAAATAATTTAAGAATTAATTTTTTTTAATTTAAAATTAACTTAATATAAATAATTATATAATAAATATAAATTTCTAATATTTTTAGTTAATATAGTTAACTTTCTATAAATATACTATATAAATATATATTCTATTTAAATACACTATTTAGCTTAATCCTAAGTTAAAAAATTAATGTAAATGCATCCTCTTTTCTATATAAAATATAACAGATTTTTGATTTTATTTATATTAAAATTTTTATATAAATATACTCATAATTATTTAAAATGTAAGTATAAGACACTTTTAGTTAGTATTATTTTATGCAAGTATTGTCTGTCATACTTTGTATACTTTCTTTTTTTAAATTTCAGTTTTTGATTTCTTGAATACTTGGATATAACTAGTAGAAGGCTTTTATTTTTTCATTTTTCATTTTATTTTAATTTATTTTTTTTGTTTACTTTTCACTAATTTTCTTCTAGTTTCAATTTTTAACTGATTTAACTTTAAAGATAATTAATAAGTATAATCTTTATTTATTTTTTCATTTATTTTATTTAATTTGCTATTTCTTTTAAATTTCAGATTTGAAATTTAAAAATAACTGGTAAATATTCTTTATTATTATTTTTTATTTATTTTTATTATTTTTACTAATTACATTTTTTTGTTTAAGTTTTAAATTTTTTAACTATTCCAGTATTAGCATATAATATAATCATGTTAAAATTT